ACAAAGTTTGAAACACAGTTAACAAACAGACATAAAAGCAAAAAAATACAAACCTAAAGTAAGTGTGACACAAGTCTCTTGCTCTAAAGTTAGGTGTCCTCTGAGGCATCGCTTGCCTGTGGACCTGTAGGCCCATCCCAAGAGTGTCCTAACTCCACGCTACTGCTTAGCGTGGGTTCCTGTCCAGGAATATCTGTCTCCCATTTAGCCCTTGGGTTTATTTCTGTTTTTCTGACTATTTTTAATGCAGACAAAAACGTTAGATTATGTATCAAAAACAACCTTCTTTCCCTTTTAATAATGAGGATCTTATCGCACACCACTGCACTAGACAGTTGGCATCTATGAGAACATTAATTAAAAACTTATATGTTTATCTGAGAAGGATGCATCACAAGGACTCAGAGTGCTCATTCTTCTACCTTTTTCATTGCAAAAAATCAATTAAAAACTTAATTTCTGACATTCTGAAAACCTCATTTTCACTGCTGTAAGTTCCTGTTGTGCAGCAGTTCCAATAATCTTTTCATTAATTAGCATTTCACAGAGACCAAATACATTAATACAGCTCACTGTTTTAAGGGGTTACTCTGTCAGAGTGTTATTATCAAACAGCACAGTCAATAACTTCTGAAATCCAGAGATTTGTACATGCTCTGCATCAGTTGAAAATGAAGAATGTCAACTCTCAGCCTTAGTGATCAAATTTCCCAGCATGTCTGCTTAAGTCCATGTCTTCCCTTGGGTTTCCGTATAGCTCATTAAACAAAACAAAACAGGGCCTCTATAGAAAGAAAAAGTTTGACGTGATTAACTAGCTCTGCTGGTAATGTGTGCAACCCACCCAGGTGTCTAGACAGTTTGAAAAATACAGAGTGTATTCAGGAGTAACAGCTGTTACTCCTCAACTCTCCATCTGTTGGACCTCAAATTAAGTAGGAACAGACCATATCAATATTAGGTGGTCCTCTTCCAGAGGAAACATCCAGCGCGTTACAGGAAATTAAGTTACTGATTCAGTAGGTGGCACTTTACCTTCCAGATGAACGCACCGCTTGCCCACCACACGAGAAAGTCTTGCGCTCCCAAAGGTGCTTGCGTTGGGAAAAGCTCGAGAACAAAGAGTTCAGCACCTCAGCTGCAGGAAGCCCTCAGCATTTTTTCATAAAGGAAAAGAAAAAAAGAGCAACACCTGTGTCCTGGCCAGATGCCAGTTTAGGCAGGTGTTTCTTGCCTGCCTGTGTGCCCTTTGTAATAATAAATTGGAGAGCATGTTTGCTTATGCAGGTTTCAGACAGTAAAATTCTGCTAGGTCCTGCTAAATAATAGTTAATGGCTTAGCAAGAGGTTAGGAGAGGGAACACGGAAAGATTCCTGTAGGTGTTTTGGAATCCCTTGGGACAGACAAGGTGCTCGCTAGAAGGCTATCCAGAAGCAGTATCTATTTCTAGGCCCGTGTCCCCACGACACCATTGCACAGCGAGGCTTCCCTGGCGCACGAGCTGTTGACCGCAGAGCAATCGCACCTATACGTACCAGATGTTAGAGGAAAACGCAGTGCTAGGTGCCCAAGGAGAAGTGTGGACCCAGGCCCCCGACTACTGAAAGATGCAAGCCTGAACGAAGCGAGAACCATCGGGTTAAACCCCTTTAGCAAGGACTCTGCCTTAAGATGCTGCACGTGAGAGCGGTGCAGAAGCACAGAAAGCTACGGGTGCGTGCTTCCGAAACTGTAGGCACATCGGACCACTCCTAGCTGAGAGATTTTACACAGATAGCGGACTTGGCTGGGATGCTGCTGAATGTGGGCGAACACGAAGGAAATCTTGAGGCATCGCTGTTGGGCAGGTGTGTCTTTCAAATTTATCACAGTTCTAAAAAAAAAACAAAAGCTAAGGTCTTTGCCCTACCTCATCGCGCTCAAGTATTTATTGCCTATTTTACTCACAGGGGAGAAAAGAAAGGTTTGTAACTCAGCTAAGTTGCGGCTAGTCAGAGAGGCTACGAAGGCATGAACCGTGGCCAGTTAGCGTAAGGTTACTGAATGAAGCCACATAGCGCGGCTTGTGCAGGCCCCAGTTGCTTTTTATAAGAGGCTAAACCACCTTAACTTCTCTACGCTACAGCAACATGTGAGCAGAGGAATGTGGCCGGTCTGTGCTAGTCCCGGAAAAGGTCCCAGATGAGGCCAGCAGATTGGGCAGCAGACGTGCAACACCAAACCTTTGCATAAAGCGCTTGGGCTTGCCTCTCCCCCAACGCTACGTGCGTGCGCGGCCGGGGCGAAGGGGCAGGAAACCAGCATGGAGGTGCCGCAGGAACGGAATGCACAAGGGCAGCTCGGACGGCTGGTGGGGAGAGCGTTACGAAGCAGTAAGCAAGTTGTAAAACATAAGTCAGACAAAACATCTGGCAGCTGCTTCAAATAGTTTTCTGTCTGAAGGGCAGACAAGCCTGCAATGGTCTCAAATCAAAACATGTGCAAGGACAGGAGCAGTGCTCCGATGTGTTTTGCACAAGCCTAGGATGAGTTTTGCTCCGTTCAATATCGCTTTCTGGGCCAAGAAAGGTTGTGTTTTGGGTTAGGTTTTCAATTTTAATGAACTTAACTAAATAAATCACGAAGTATTCCCCTTTCCAGTCAAATGCAACTTCATCTTTGGCATAAGATCAACATTAGCTCTGCATAGGAAGTATATAGGAGAGAAGAGGGGGCGCATGCTAGGAAATGTTTTTCATGATTGTCTTAAGAACAGATTCACTTACTCAGTAGAGAAAACAATTGCCAAAATAGGTTCTTAAGAATATGATGCAAATCCTTCTAGCTTGCACATCTCAGGCACTGGGAAAGGGAAGATTGTCTTATGCTGGTACCAGGTAAAAACTTGAGAGATCCGAACTGACATCGAGGCTCTGCAAAGAAAGTTACTTGAGCTCAGGCAAATAATTTTACTAGCAATTTGCCTCAGTTCTGCGGATAAAGGAGAGAATTGAGAACAGTCCTTTTTGCTTCCCAAGTTTTTCTGTCTTATTGACGCTGCCGTAGCTTTGGCCAAAATCCACAGTAGGAACAGTCGCTGGCCCAGGTATGCTGCACAGAAGCTTAACTTGCACACAAAACAGCCTTTCCTTTCAAAAGCAATTGTGGCAGGACTGCTAAAGTATTTTGACTTATTTTCTTATCACCTATCAAAGGCCTCCAGTGAAAACTTCCCCCCTGCAAATTTTTTAGACACAAGTTACTTCTACCAATGCCTCAACTTTCAGGAAGAAACAAAAGCCTGCCCACTGCCTGTCTAGAGCATCAGGATGCCAGACTCTCTGCAGAATTACCACTTCTGTATCACCAGCAAGGCGAAGCAGTCAAACTATCAGGGCCAGAAGCCTCCTATAAAACGTAGAGGAATAGTTCCATACGCACGAACATTATTCAGCAACAGCAGGAAGATGAGAGATGCTGGCCAGCATAAGAGGATTTCATTCAAGGACTGGATTTCAAGGATACCCTAATGTAAGCAGGATGTGAGATTTTTAACGCTACTCGGAGAAGGGAGCAGGTCTGCCTGCTACATGCCAGCGCCTGAACGCAGGCAATAGCAGGGGAAGCAGAGAGCCACTGATTCGTTAGGACTCACTAATCTGTGATATCATTTGTTGATTCCACCAGGCCCAGTCCTCATCTCATGACTTCCTCCGTCGTCACCATGGCATTGTACATAAACACTGCAAACTCCCAGCCCCAAGCAGGTCATTTATTTCAAATATTCCATGCAGCTGGAACTCAAGCCTGTTTGGGTGTCTGGAGCTGAGCATGAACTAATTTCTCAGTCTTCTGCACCCGCCCCACCTTGTGGGCCCTCCCCAGGCCCAGCCTGCTGCTCTCCCAGCACCCCTCCTCCAGCCACGCTCCCAGCTCAGCAGAGGCAACCTTTCTCTAAGGGGAGGCTAGATTTGCCAACACACAGGCAGAAAATAAATGTTTCACTGCCTACAGCAAAACATAACACTGCTCATTGTTAAACATGCTGGCTGCTTAGCTTAACATTCACAAACGGTTGTCCTCAAAGGAGGAAGTCCTCTAAAATTTGAAAATCCTTGCTGTGACAGCAGACGAAGGCAAGAAACGATTTAATGCCCCCCACCCCCACACTCACCTCACCCAGCTTATAAGCATACTTCTGAGCTTGAGTTGAGCCTCACATTTTGTAGTGTTTGAACTGATGAAAGCATTTGCTTTCCACATCCAAGTTGGTAGCTGCAGGGAAGGCAGAAAAGCAACCATGGAGGGGAGAAGGAATTAGAGCTTGTGTCATAATTGGAGAGTATGAACCCACCTCACCTTCAGTCAGTTTGGAGAGGCTTAAGCTACCAAACCTACCAGCTGCTACAATTTGAGAGCCTCTCTACTGCACAGGCTGGAGGTAGAAGGGACAGAAGGCACCATCAGCAAGCCAGAAACAGTTTGTATTCTGCAACCAATATCATCCATAGCTCTTGGTAGCCCAAGGAGGAATCCTCTTGCGCAAAACAGGTCTCAAACTATGTTTGATGCATGCTATGCAACAAGTTCAGCTAGATAATCAAGGCCCTGACCACAGCTGAAAAGTATCTTAGCAAACCTGAATCTATTTTAAGAAACACGAGTATTGCATAGTAAAGAAGGTGGCTGTAAGCCACATTAAAGTAGGAAAGCCAAGGCTGGACTGTCACCCCAAATTTCATTCTACTATGGCTGGAACAGCCATTTCCAGGCACCAGTAGCAGATGCGCAAGATGGCAGGTTCCCACACCCTACCACTTGTGGGTATAGCTGCTGCTCACCCTCCTCCCGTACATAGCTCTTAAAGGCCAGCTTTGATTTGTTATTCTCTTAAGCAAAGACAAGGCCATCACCCTTTGCTTTAACTGCTTGGGATGGGTTCTCTGGAATAAGCCTAGCATAAGGAGGCTAGGTAGGAAGGAGGTCTGATCATGTCATGCATATAAAAACCAGCACCAAGTAATATTGAATAAAGTTTATTAGGTTACTGAATATTATCTACAGCCATAAAATAGAAAGTGAGAATTTAAAACTGTACAAAGCAACATACTAGGGAAGTGAGAGGAGATGGAGACAAGAGAGCGCAAAGAACATTAGAAGTGGGAAGAACACAGAGGCTTCCCTGGAGTTAACGGAAGACACTGGTTCAAGTTGAAGGCAACCAGATAGGGCTTCATACACACTGAATTTTCTTGTGCAACTTGTGTCCCACCCTGTAACAGAAACTAGTACAAACCCCTATGTTAAAAAAAAATATACAAGATAAGATTATAAAAAGGGGCGCATCACACCCCACCCAGTCTTGGCACCAATTCTGTGCTTTAAAAAATATACTATGCAAGTAGTTTATTTTTAAAAAAGGTACCCTACAGCAGCTGTTTAAAACATGGTTCTTATACATACACCACAAATATATATATTAACACTTTCAACCACTAAACTCATTTGTACCTACACAGAACTGAAGGAATAACTCAAGAGCAAAAAAAACACCCAACCACACAAACATTTTTTCAAGACAAAGAAATGTGCAAAATAACCCCAGAAAGGCAGCATAGTAGCCTGTGGAGACATCAAGAGAGCGCTCTGATCCTCTCTTTCCTTGGCTACTGAGGCAAGAATCTTTATTTGGGATGTGCTGATTTTGCCTGAATTGCTTGTCCTGTTGTTTATTGCAGTTCCCCCCTCCTGGCTCTGGAGGGGTTCCCTTTCTTCTTCCTGGGCCTGAAGGTCACCCCCACGTGGCTCTGTTAAAGCCTCACAAGTTACGTTATTCTGCAGCAGCCACCAGCTTCTGGATTTCTAGTCTGCTGATGGCAATTCTGCAGCTACACTGCTACCTCCCTCTCTGGGAGATCTTCCCATTCCCAAGCAAGGAACAGGGAGAACTATTCCCGCTGCATAGCTGAAAGGAGATTAGGCTCATGGTCTATGACAGGACAAAGCCTGGTTTGGAGGACTTTAAGCAGCTTTAAAAGAATACCCTGGCAGAGACATTAGAGGAACACTTCAGTATGTGTTTCTAAAGCCCTAACAGAGAGAGGCTATACAGAAAGCAGACTTAAGAAGGCAAGGCCTGTAGCTGTGCAACGAGTCTCAGCTCAACCAGCCTGGCTTATATTGCAGGACAAGTTTGTCCTTTCCCTGTCCCCACACTGGCAAGGAACCCCCTTACTCCCTGACTTAAAACTGCAGTTTTAAGTCAACAGAAAGAAGGCAAGTGAAGACATGGGATGACTGCTCAGTCAGCAGAGTCACACCCACTAAGAAAAGGCAGGACAAACAGCAGGAGGAGAACTGGGACAGCAATAATGGCGGAAACAAGTAAGCAAGATTCACTGTCTATTAAATAACCTCAGAACATGTTGAGAAGTCCTGACAGAGACAGGCAGACATCAGCTACGTAACCGCCTTCTCAAACTGAAGCGTCCTGGTGGAAAGGTTCTTGGTTTTGGTGTTTCAGGTTCTTGTTGGTTTTATATATGTATTTTTTTTTTTTGGTTTTAACATCCCACTGGTAATTCCTCTTGGTATTCCAGACTCTTCCCAACTCTGCTGGCCACCCTGTGCCTTTCCGTTCTTAGCACCTGGTCTTAAGACCTCCACTCTACTGACTTCCCTTCCCCCAATCCATGCTCTCCCCTTTGGCTGGCACAGAGGAATAATTCACTCGTAGGCTCTACAACCCAAAGGATCCAGTACAGCCTTTATCCGGAGAAGCAGGGAAGCACAGAGCTTCTGTAAAGGTTCCTTTCGCAAGTGTGCTGGAGAAGCAACTTCCAAAGAACAAAATGCTCATTTTACTTGTGAAACAAGGATTATTTGAGAATTCGCTTTAGCGCTGACAGGGGTACTTTGGCCAAGGAGTTCCAACAGTAGCGATGGCGTGAGGGCGGCAAACCCGTTGACCAGTGGGTCAGCTCCAGATTTTTTGCCTTGGTTCCAGCTCTGTCCTTGAACATGAAGGTCATTGGTAGAGCAGATAACTCTTGAGGGAAGCTGGCAGTGGCAGTGTAGGGATCTCATTCAGTCTTTCCTTGCCCAGAGCAAGCCTCACAGCTCGCCGACACAAGTCCATCAGAGGCAGTGGTTCAGCTGGAAGAAAAACACCCAAAACATTAGCCTCCCAACTCGTAAGCTACACATTCACTTTGCTAGCTCTAAAAATCCCCAGAAAGATATGAACAGAAGTAAATGCTGGGCCTGTTCACAAGACCCAAGACATTCGGCACTCAATCAGCAACATCAGCATGTCAAATACACAGGCAGAGGATGACTTTCTGTAGACGGTATTTAGAGCTACACATTTGTGTGAAGGAAAAAGCATTAGAATCACTTAAGGAAGTTCTCTCTGCAATACCAATGAAGTCTGAAAACATACGTCTTTAGCTTGTGCCTCTCATGGCAGTATCCAAAAACCTTTGTAAGAGGTTCACTAAAAATAAAAGACTACAGCACGGTTTGATAGCACTTTGTGATATAGGTACACAGAAAGAACTATGATTTGTGTTTCTTCTCTAGTTCTATGACAGCTGTCAACCCCTTCATTTCCACCACATGATCCCCATGAGAAGAATAAAGCCATCTGTTAAGCATCATGTCACTACACTTGAACATAGTGTGACAGCTTCCATCAGAGGAAGCTCTCCTGCATCATAAACACCTAGGAAAATGACAAGCTTTTGGCTACCATTTCTGCATCCTATACTTTAAACACTAAACAGGATAATACTAATTTTTCAAACATGGCATATTGGGCCCTTTGATGCTGAAGAGTCATTCACAACATAAAGGGGACTCCGAGGTCAAAGCTAGAGTGAACACAGAGCTGCACAGAAGGGAGAAGGGATTTCCACCCC